TATTGAAGAATGGCTGGAAACCTACTTATCAAAATCTACAAAATCAAATTAAATATTTCCAAAAATATATGTATAATATTATGTTTGAATTACGGTTTTCATATGCACACATATGTACGACGTTTTGGGACTAACACCCATTTCTTTTTTTGAAACATAAGCTCCCAATTTTATATTTGTAAAAAGGAAGTTTGTAAATAGCCCAGTCAAGCTCTTGACAAACGCATCACACACACCCTCAAAGAGTTCTGCACCGCTTAAACAATTCTGAGGATTCCTTGATCGTTTGTTGTATAGTCTTTATATATTTATGTTTAATTTATTACATTTATTACAATTAACTTAAAAATATACAATTTTTAACATATTGGATCTTAGCACAAATAAATAAAACATTTTATATGACACTTATAAGTCCAAATACATTATCTTTGTAGCAGATAATGCCCCACAGAGACTCAAAAAGCTAGCGGTATAAATAACAGCTGTTGTAGTACCCGATATTTTTATAATCGTACCCATACATATAGATAAAATAAATTGGGCCAAGAATACCATGCTACTTATGATGGCAATATCAGTGCCCAGCCCTCTAACGCCTGAGCCATGTTTTGCTTGTCCATTTTCATCTAACTCAAACTGAAAACAATGGTTATTTTGCATATTCCGAATATATTAAAAATTATATACTCACCGTGGACAAATAATGGTAGTGTGCAACAAGTAAATATGGCATGGTGAAAAGAGTTGAGTACATAACACCCGCTGTCCAGCTAAATAGTATGACGCTACTTTTGGCTCGAGTCAAGGCCATTAAAGCCATTCCAGTACAATAGAAACAAAGACCTCCAACGTATACATTCTTGGCCCTAAACAAATTTTAGAATTAGTAATTAAATGAGGTTTCAATGATTGCAAATTACCGAAAACGTTGAATAAGCTTGTCTATAACAAGGGAATAGCAAGCACATGACAGTGAATACATTGCCATTCCCCAACATCCGAAACGAATGCCCTCTTCATAACGGATCTGAGGTTCTGATCCTTCTGTTGCCTTTGGGTCACCATTGAATATAGCTTCGCCCACAAAATCAGTAAAATAAAGGGAGTAGCAAACATGCGCCATCCAACAAAACAGATTCGTCAGGCATACCATTCGCAACGAGTGTGGCATGTATACAATGGATAGTAAATAGTGTGACAATGACTCTATTTGTACGGAACTTTGTATCGGTTGTACATTCTCTACTTCTGTTTTTTCTGGTAGAGGGTCTGGGGTTTCCATGAATGAAGTTTCATCAACATTCTGCACTATTGAGATTTGTTCTTCTGTAGATTCAGTTGTTAGCTTAAAATAAAATGTATCATTGTCATTGAATACATGATGAAAATAAACATTTTACCTGTTTCTTATGTTCATCATTCAAGATAGATACTTCATTGTCAAGAGCACCATAAGTTGAAAGTGGCACTTCAGACTGTTCTTTTTCCTTTAGATAATCCCTGTTTTCGTTACTCGATATTGCCCAAAGGGGTATTTCCGAAAAACTGGTAATTGTTAATGTAACACAAGCGACAAATATAAAAGTTATTATTGAGAAAACAGCCTTGACGTGTCCTCCCAATCGACGCCCTGAATCAGTTATATATGTAATTTATGTATTTTGTGTTTTAATTAGCTTACCAATTTCTGTTTCATCCCAGTTAAGGCCTCCCATTGAATAGCCAAAAAATCCTCCCAGTCCTGCCATAATAGTGAAAGTAGAAAGACCCTTGGCATGATCCTCGGGCACGCAGACATCCAGTAAATACGCTCTTGAAGGACTTTGACAAGCATCTGCGTCAAAATCAAGTAAAACGGTTCCCAAAACAGTAAAAAAAATGCCCCAAGGATGGGAGTTCTTTGAAGAGCCATGCATCGTTTCAGTTCCATTTTGTGTCGCGTTGCTCACGGGAATTACATTTGGCGGGCTGTGATATTCATCGCCAAACCAATAACCCAAATTTTCACCATTCGGCACCAAAAGAAGTCCTTGGAATAGAAAAAAGTATGTAAGATGAACTGTAATATAAATATAAATAAATGTTAGAAGTGGATATTAGCTAGGAATATTTATTCGGAGCTCCATTACTCTTGGCTTGCTGTCCATCTCCCAAAGTGCTTAGGAGCCATCCAAGTGAAAAGAAGTGACAGTATTCGAATGAAGGCTCTTTATCTACGTTCGTACTCTTTATAGTGTTTTCGTTGCCTGATTAACCTAATACTTTAATCTTAATTGTGTGAAATACTTATTATTATTACCAAGAACCACTCCGATTGATAGAAGTAATATAAATGGCCGTCTTCGTCCCATATTTAACTTGCATCGGTCAGAAAATGATCCCAATATTGGGCATAAAAAGAATCCGACTAGGGGAGATAATGCCCAAACCAATGTCATGTGCTGATGCTCAACTCCGATTTTTAGTAGTGTTGGAGACACAAATGCTGTTTCTGCCGCGTACGAAAACTCAATGCCCATTACTGCAGCAGATACACGGATCAACTCAGCACGCGATTTGCATCTGTAAACAAAAATAGTTCATGGGAAATTAGTTAAAATAGTATGTCAGAGAATAAACGCAACAAAAATCTGACTGGTGGATTCAAATGAAAATATAAGTTAAAATATTTGTTGTTCTATGAAGAGGAATTTAACAGTTCATTGGTGTATGATATTAACGAAAACGAGGAGGAACTTAACGAGTCGCTTTTAAAAGCGACTCTACTTCTATACCCGGTACTCAGTCAATATATGTATGTGTGTACATAAATAAATACATGCATATTTGATTTTGTTATGTTATTTTTTTCGAATTTAAGTCACTGCAAATGATTATCTTCATTCTTTCTATCCAATCTGATCCATTGCTGGATCTCATATTACGTTATTTAGTTTTCTTTTATCTCAAAAATTGTGGATGTATAAAACAGTTATAATGTTAGGCCACACAGAACGTTGATTGTGTAATTTAATTTGATTACCTAAATATGTGTGAGTAATCCTTATTAGCACTTGTGTTTCCTTTGAGCTGCCCCAAAGCGCTTTCTTTAGCTCTTTGTAGTATATTCGACTCCTCACTTTCAAAGCCATGGTAAAATTCCTTAATATTGTCCCTTAATTGATGAAATCGCCCTGTGATGCCCTGATACTGGTGCAACTTTTCCATATTTTAGGGAAAATTATGTTACTTCAAAAATTTGAATTCAGGCCTTAAATCTTTTATGGTTTCACGAATTTCTTAACAAAAATATCACACGCCAAGGAAGCCAACACGGTTGACAGTTAATCTAAAAGTGTACTCGCTTGCAAGCAAATTTATTGGGACTGAGGAATTTTCTTTTTCGAATGTGACCTTTCCATCGTATTTTAGCGAGCATGCGTTAACATTGTAAAACTTTGAGCTGTTCCAGTATACCCACGAACCATAAATACATACATATATACAAAACACAAAGCCAACAACTAGCGCTTGGAAGAAAAACGTTCCAAACTATTAGTATCGTCAAACAAAACAGTGAAGCAAGGTTAGTTCGAGGGGGACCGAGGCGTTTGATACCCTACGTTCGTTCGTTTCCTTAGGTTTGGTATTATCATCAATATATTCTCATTTCTCGTGTCAGGGTGTATGTGACGGAACTCCTCCTAAGCGGTACGACCGATTGTTGTATATTGAGTACGTCTGCAAATAGGATGAATCTATTTTTCATCTTTACTTTTAAACGTGACTTTAGCCCTTTTCATCAATTTAGCTTTCAGTTTTTGACATAAAATAATATTCGCCTGTGAGTATATTTTTTATACTCTGTTTATACTCTTTACTCGAAGAGTAAATAGGGTATTTTTCACTTCTGCTCGAAAGAAAAGTACATATGTATGTAACGCACAGAAAGAAACGTTTCAGCATCAATAGCCGAGTCGATATAACCATGTCTGCTGGCCGTATTGTTGGCGGCTAGTTCTCGGAACATTAGAGCTAGAGCAACCAAGTTTTGCATTCAGACTTCTGCCCTTCCGCCACCGGAAGTACTGGGTATAAAAGCAGTGATGTTTTCAACGCGACTCACAACGTTCCTCCTTGGTAGTTATATGGATTTTTTTTTTTGTGTGGTGTGCATTTTTTATGGTTTTTTTTTACGAGACTTCTTGTATATTTTAATTCGCCTCGTAGAAGCTGAGAGAATCCCGCAAACTTGATTTCCCCTTTTAATTTATAGGTAAATACATATATTAAGACTTAGTATCTATGTATGTTTGCATTTAAGTTATATTGTTTATTTATCTAAGCTTCCCAAATATTGTGGACATTTTTAAACATGGTTTAGATGAAACATTTCAGTAATGGTATATTATGTGATATGCATCTGCATTTTAACCATGTTTTAAAGAATAATATTCTCCCTAACAACCTATTCAAATGCCTAATTAATTGGATGACATGGTAAGAGCTTTTAATTCTATGATGAGTTGAACTAAAGATTGAGAGTGAACTCCACATTCAAGAAGGCTTACACATTCGGTCATTGTGTCAGGACACAACCCGATATTTAGCAATTTAGATAATCCATCGACAACAGTACGTAGTTTTTTTGACTCAATCGCTTCTTTATTTAGTAAAAGTGACATGTCTTCAACCGTTCTTCAACTTGAGTATCCAGATCTGAAATATCCCATCAACTAATTATAGTGTTTATGAAAAAATATTTATTTTTTACTTACTTAAGTTTTGTTTATGTTATCGTTGCCTGACCTGAGCATCTGTGTGACCGCGGAATTATCGATAAAATACACCAGCAGACCCTCGGACATATACCTTTTCATTTTCAAAATATACTGAAAGTATACCGTAAACTTAAATGTAATTGCCAGTTTTGATCTTGTTTAATATTGCCAACAAGTTAGGACTCTCAGCTTTAAAACTTTAATTTTATTTGATTTATCATTTAATACTTCACAAGATTGACTGATCTTCATGACTTATCTTTATTGGAAACTTGATTGAAAGGCTATGAGAGAATGCAAAATCTCTCGTGTCTAAAGATATTCGAACAATTAATTATAGCAAAGGATAAAAAATAAACACTCTCTATTTTTCCAGATCGATTTGTCCAAAGACGCCGCGATTTGTGGATCGAGACCAAATGTCTTCTCTGGTGATTCGTAGTCTTTGTAAGACCTCGAGAGATCGATCCTTGAGCCTAGGGTCCTCATCGGCAAAGCGAAGGGTGCAGGAGCCAGTGCAACGTTCCGGCCAACGCTCATCAAACGTAAATACTACCACAAAGAAGAATGGCTCGCCGGGGCAGGAAAAGGTCTTCGCTATGACCAAACCTGGAGCAGATTCCTGATCAGACTGGGAATGGGATTGAACGTCGGGGATCTCTTCCAAGCTACTTAGTGGCAATGTGACCTTTTCCCCTTCGTTAGTGGCACCACTGGATGTCTGCTGGGATGCCATCCCTGTCATATATCGCTGGCTGGCGATATTTTGAGATTGTTCCTCCTCGGAAAAAACCGAAACTGAGCCAGTGTTTGAACGCACTGGAGAATCGGGTGCTGGTGCTGGCTTGGTGACCGTCTGCCGCATAATTAGACCTGAGAAAGATTCCAGATCAGGCTGCAATGTCAATTGGGAATCAGGGAGCACGATTATCTCTTCTTCCAATTTCTTCGGTGCTTCCACTAAATCGAGCTTTTTTGCCCTTTCCTGGGATGCAATCACCGTTATGACGCTGACATCAGAAACTTCCGAGTTTTCATCGTCGGAGAAAATCGGCACCGCGGTGCTGTTTGAGTGCACTGACGGATCGTGTGTGGTCTTGGCCACATAAAAGGATGTATCGATTTGTTCCTCCTCCGTTGGGTCAGTGTCCAAGGCTGTGCGCATGGATCGGTGCTGGTTACTCAGCAGAATCTTTTTCTCAACGTCCTGGCAGATATCGCAAATGAAGTCTACGGACTCGGAGCCACGCGCCTGCCTTGACATGCCCGCCACACACTTCAGGTGTGCGCCGGTCGAGGAACACAGCTTGCAGGGACATATGATCCAGGTATTCTTGTTGAAGTCTCGTCCGTTGGGGCATAGGCACGTTTCCTGGGCGCATAGCATGTGCTTGCGGTGCAGCTCCTTGTAAGCGTTATTCTGCCGCTCACAGGTGGCGTCCGGCACGAAGATCGACTGCTTGCGAATGATGTCGCGAAACTTCTCACTGTGGCACCAGATGCAGCGCAGATTGTAGCCCGAGGTAAGGGCGTATCCACGCATGCATTTCCGGTGGGCAAAGCCTTTACGGCAGCAGTCTCCATAGGAGACCCTGTGCAGGTTGAAGGGCTGAATGACCTGCGAACATATGCCGCAGTTTTGATTTTCTGGCGGATTGGCCAACAGCTGTCGCTGGTAGCCGTCGAACGGTGTACACTCTTCGCAGTAGCTGTGAAACTCTCCACAGAACTCTGAGGTGACATTGTGGTTCAGGGAGCAGGCCCAGTGGAAGCGTTTGCGGCACTTATGGCACGCTATGTTGGCGCCCGTCTTATTGCAGAAGCAGCAAATTTTTTTCTTGGCGGCGGCGGCTACCTCGCGAATGTCGCGCATCAGGAAGCCCAAAATGCCGCACGAGTCGCCACCGCATTGGGGCAAATCTGTCGATAAAAGCTGCAAAACAGGATGCGCATATAGTTCGCTGTTGGCGGCCCACCAAGTGCGGAATTTAACTCACCAAGCAGTAGTGGTGGAAGGTTAGTTTCTGCCTAATTATCCACTTGCCAAATGCAAAAGTATCAACATCACTGTTGCTGCTTTTCATGCCGCAAAGTTCACACGTTTTTGTCTCCATTTAATCTCTGGCGCCACAGCTAGGTATGGAACTTGGTCAACTTTGTCAATTAAAGCGCAGTAAGTTGATAGCTACCTATCGCTTGGTGGTGTTATCGGACAATCAGAGAGGAACAAAATACATCAAACGTTATGGGGACACAACAATTAATTATACATATTTGCATTGACATTAATATTATTTACCATATATGTATGTAAATACAAATAATTATATATTCTCTATAAAATATGATATACACATATAATAAAAAAATAGGTACGCAATAGGTTTATGCAGGTTTTAGAGTCTTACTTGGGGTTCAATATTTTGGACGAACTTTCCATCATTCCTGAATACCAATTCGTATTCAGGAGGAGTCACGGGACCCCTGAGCAATGTCACAGGGTTATTAATGATATAGTTTCGGCATTTGAAAACAAAAAATACTGCACTGCTGCATTTCTTGATGTTCAACAAGCTTTCGATCGAGCCTGGCACAAAGGTTTGTTGTACAAGATCTGGCTAAAAGCTGCTTTTACGTGCAGCAGAACACCGATACTTCATCACTACTTCTCATCAACGCAGGCGACATGCCAGTTGCAAACAACAGCCCTGTTGCAACATATGCTGATGAAACAGCCGTTTTAGATGCAAGCACATCTATAAATGAAGCTTCCGAACTCCTGCAGAGTGAGCTAAGCTAATTGAAGACTGGTCCTTCGATGGAAAATTAGAATCAACTCCCTGAAATCCGTCCAAATAACGTTTTCATTAAGACCAGGTAACTGCACAAATGTTACACTTAACTACTCACCAATTCCACAAAATACCTGTGTGAAGTATCTCGGCTTGCATCTCGACCGCAGATTAACATGGAAAACCCACATTAAAGCAAAATGTCAACAACTTAGACTTTAAACACTAAAAATGTCCTGGTTGATAAGTCGAAAATCAGAAACCCCTTTGGAAAACAAAATTCGCCTCTACAAATCAATACTAAAGCCTGTTTGGACCTACGCTATACAGCTCTGGGCGACTGCTAGCAACTCAAATATTGAGATACTCCAGCGTTACCAATCAAAAACTTTGCGACACATTGTCCCGTTTTACGTATCTAATGCAAATATCCACAAAGATCTTAATATTCCAACCATTAGAGAAATACATCGACAGACACCACAACCATGAGAATAATTTAGCCTTAAGTCTATTAGACAATAGCTTAACAGTAAGAAGACTAAAAAGATACCACATTCTCGATCTCCCCGATAGATAAATCCAACAAACTGAAAATGTTATGTTATATATAATACCAGGACTCATTTCTGTTAATTTAATATTAATTATACAATTTACTTATTGTTTAAACAAACAGATTGTAAATATAAAGAGAGAGAGAAAAAAAAAAGTTGTTCAAACCCGGTTATCCCTTTTATCCTTAATGTATTTCAAAAATTTATAAGCAGATAAAGGATACATTAAACAAAGTTTGTCTAATATTGTTGGGCAAGCTAATTCATATATTCTTTATTCTTGCCGAATCTCGTAAGATTTAACTTTTTATTTGCTCCTCACAACGTAAGCAAAACAGCGGCTTGAGAAGTGTAACCTTGCGTAATGCCTTTTACACCTCTCTTCACACTCCGCCGCTGGCAAAACATATTGCACATTTTGTTCGCAAACATTATTTTACATCAATATATATTTTGAAAATATTTCGGTATATTTTCAAAATATTTCGGTATATTTCCGAGCGTATGTCAGTATATTTGATCGATAATTCCGCGTTCGCACTGCTTTTCTTTTTAGTAAACAAAAAATATATTAATTAAATGGCAGACGATTTGCAAAACTATAAATTGCAGTTGCAGCAGGTATGTTGTGTTCCAATACACATACGCATATCAAAATATGCGATTAGGGTTCGTGGTTTTGGATAAAAAACAAACATAAATTCATGTGTTTGTGCAGATGTATGTATGTATATGCAACTGTACATACATACATAAGTATTTATGTACAGTTGCATATAGATACATCTAAGTACATATTTGTGAAGGCCTTTGTTTAAAAACAATATCCTAACGCTTATACATGTATGCCACCGGGTGCAATCGGGATAACTAGGTCAAAGTACATTTTTACCTACTGGACCAAGCCAGCAATATGCCGGCCGAAATTAAATGAAAGTGATGCCTAGGGCCTACAGTTCAGACCGCGGAGTCCGTGGGTTCCAGCCCTAGAACAGGCTTATAATTTTCTTTTTTGTGTTTCCTTTACTTTACACTGGAAAATATTATTTATTTTTAATTGTAGGTCGAAGCTGCGCTGCAAACTGATCCAGATAATGAAGAGCTCCTGAAACTGAAGAGTGATCTGGAGGAGGTCATTACGTTAACACGTGATTTGATTAAAACACATTTGGAAGAGCAGCAAAAGTCTTCCTACGTAGAGCCATCATCATCTAAAGCAGCGTCCGCAAACTATTTCGATGAAATTGAGGCTGCTCTTTTGGAGGCTGAAAAATTAGTCACTGCTGCCAAAGTATGGAAGATTGGAGACAAATGCCAAGCTAAATGGAAGGAAGATCGACAATACTACGATGCAACCATAGAAGGCATAACCAGCGAAGGCGAAGCCAGTGTGATATTTGATGCCTACCAGAATCGTTCAACAACCACTGTGAGCGAATTGCGCGAACGTACCACTCGGAACGAAGTTTTTCCGTCAAACAAGTATAAACAAACGACAAGTTTAATAAGTACTTTATTTTAATACGAATTTACTTTACAGACGTCACAGGCCCAATCAAAAGGAATATTTAAAAAAAAGAAAACAAAAGAAACAACAGCGCTTCAAAGACTTGGAGGAAGAGCGGGAGTCTGATAAAAATAAATGGATACACTTTACCACTAAAAATCATAAGAAGCCGGGAATGAAAGTTAAGAGCATATTTGCCTCACCGGACAATGTAAGCGGTAGAGTTGGCATCGGTACATGTGGAACGGCGGGAAAAGGCATGACTGATTTTACTGTTGGCGAAAAATACCGCAAAGGTCTCTGAGATATAAACAAGATTTGACATAAATTAGAGTTAAATAATGTTTTTGGATTATAATAAATGGCTGCTTTTATAATTTGATAAGTCAACAAAGATTCTTTTGCATTAGTTTATGTTTAACTTCATATTGAAATGAACTATAAATTTATTCCGTACAACAATCATTTTAAATTATGTTTTGATGCTTTTTATCTGTGTGCGATTGCTTGCTACATCTGTCATCTACATCACCTCTCCCACCAACACTCCCTTGTGAAGTGGGACCTGGGTCCTGTCGGAGCCAAGTGAAGCTGCTTCTCCTTGTTCCCTTCTTCCTTCGATCGGCTCTCTAGTCCGGGGCACGTGGATGGCCGTCGTGGTTCCCTGGGACTGGGGATGCGTCCAGCTCCTCCGCTCTTGCCTGTACGGTCTCGTCGTGGCCGAAGCTCGCTTAGTCCCACAAGCAACTTGATACATTTCAGACAGCTTCTGTTAGTACTTAAATGGCGCTGCTTGTCAATGCGGCCTCTTGCGGCGAACAGGAATAACTGGTTTAGCTTGCTGTTAGCAAAGCTGTTAAGTTTGCACAATATTTGAAAAGGATTTCTGTTAGCGGAATTACTAAACATCTTTAAGCCATGGTTAGATGATCTTTTAAGCCATTCAAATTAATATTTATGATGCGATGTTTGTATTTTTTCCATTTTCAAAACAAAGGCAGCTGGCGGCACGTACGCAGATCCATCGATCACGTTCTGTTGACAAATCTTATTGTGATTCTTCTGCTGAAATAGAGGAAGGGCAGGCCAGTGCTGTAGAAAGCACGGTTTAGTGGGGGTTTCTTTTGGTTATGCTTAAATAAATTAAATGTTTTATTTTCTTTAATTTTAAATAGTTACTATTATTATGGGAAGTTATCTGTTTCAATGCTCAACAAGCTTAAGCTTTGCTTTAACATTAACATAACATTAAAATGTTTAAAATTGTGTTTACAGCGCTTTGCTCTGCACTTCTAGCAAGTAATTAGCAGCTGAGCAGAAAAGCTTACACACCGCTTACATTTTAATTAACATTTTCTTTAACAATAAAATTAAACTTTACATGAAATTTCTACTCGCTGGTCATAAGCAGTCTTTTCGTGGCTAACATTTCCATTTACATTTGTTTCTACATTTACTTAACATTTCCTAACAGTTTTTCCTTCTTGCTTTACTCTCTACCACGAGTTTCGCTCTTTTTCCTCCCCTCCTTCCTGTTCTCTCTTATCTAGCGCATACCTCAGCGAGCGATTTCCCGCTTGTAGAGGGAAGTCAGCCTCAAAAATGTTGCCACTGCACTGCCACTGCCTCTGGTTAGCCACAAAATGGAAACAGTGGCGGTGTAGCCAAAAGCCAAAGGAGTTCATTTCGCTCTCAACCACTTGAAAGTGAACGAAAAACAAAGGTCTAACCGGCACATTAAGCTCTACGCTCAAAATGAAGAATGATATGGCTGGGAGATGGAGTGGAAAAAGTCTCCCCTATGTCACACCCATTAAACAGATGATGAAGAAAAGGCCTTGGCCCTGGCCATCTCCCCCAGTACTTCCCAGTGTTTTACATTTTCCAACTGTTTCTGTGTTGTGTGTAGTTTGTTGTTACTGTTTGCTCTGTTTTCTGGTGATTTTTTTTTTCCTGTGGCAGGGAAGCACACACATTTTCCTTTTGGTATAAGCTTTTGTTTATAAACTAGTTTCGAAAACTTGCATCAACCACACCACAATTCTCTCACTCTCTCATTTAGCCAAAAGTTTTGTATTCTTTTTTTCAGCATAGGCCATTTTGCTGTTTGTTTTGAAACAGTTTCCCTTTCTTATTATTCCAGTTTCCCTCACTTTATGGATTCGTTTCCTCTACCACTCAACCCCATTTATAATGCACTTCGAGTCGCTTAATACCTTACACTTCCAGTTGTAGTTCAACTGCTTAAAGTTTTGCTTAATTGTTAGCTCCTGGGAATTACCAATTCCACGCACGTTCTGGGTTAAGTTCTTAAGCCAATTTCAGACTACTTGTAATTGAAACGTAATTGGAGCGACTGTGTCTGTGTTTTATTTCCGATTTTACTCTCGCTCTCTCTAGCGACAAAAAAAGAAGAGAAAATGCAGTTATCAACTAGCAAAGTTAAAGCGATTTAATGGCGTGAGCATTGAGCAAATGTCAGCCTCAATTAACTTTAGTAATTTAGTAATTACGAAATTTTGTACTCTTAACAGACAGTTTCACTATTTTCACAATGTTTGAGTTAGGAAAATACTTGCTAAAAATTATATCAGTTCTCATCCAGCTCTTGCTGCCATATCTTTAAATCTACTTTTAATTATGCAAATTTGACCCTTCCTAGCCATTGCTTTATTTGTTCATTTAAATCCATTTCAAGGTGTTTTTAGCACTAAGATTGTTGCTCCAGAAAAATGGAAAGCAAAAAAGCAAACACAAAAAAATGCAGAGTGTGAAACGTGAAAATCTTATACAAAAAAAAATGCAAATTAAAACCAGGAAAAAGAAAATATTTCGTCCACAAGATTAGCAGAACAAACACCGAATTTCTCTTCTGTCCTGGCTTCTGTTTACTTTTCCTTACATCATAGAAAATACATTATTTTTCTTATTTCCTTAGCAAATAAATGCTCGCTAATTTGGTTTTTGTTTGCTTTTATTTTAGAATATATTTCAGAATGAGGGCAGGAGCCTAGGTAAATATTTTACGTGAATTATTACTGTGTTTTAAGAAAACATTCTGATAATTTATGTGTGCTTTAACGATACAAGTTTGCCTTTAAAAAATAAAACAAGCGTTTGGTAAATTTCTCAAGAATATCTGGACTGTATTGGGACTGTAAATTATTCCCTTAATTGTGTCATTATTTCCTCCGAATAATTGTAACCTTAGCTGCAGTCTCCTTAGCAGCCAGAGTCCACTATGAAGACAGCATTTCCACATTTAGTTGCCACAGTCGCCCGTTGCATGCTTTATTCTGCGGCATTCCACAAAAGTTTTCACAAAAAAAAAGTTTTTGGCTAAGAGAAAACGAGAATAATTCTTTTTTAAGTCTTGCGGCGGGAGTGCCTAGTGAAAATTTAAAAACAAAAGAGTGCACTGTGTAAATGGAGACAAAATGTGGAAAATAGATGGAGAAATGTAGCTACTTTTGTACTTAGCAAATGGCTAAGCGGATAGAGAGAGACTTATTTTTTTTTGTGTCTTTCATAATCTCGGTGGGGAGTTGCAGTCACCGCAAAACTCTCTCAGCGGCTTGTGCCTGAGACTCACAATACTGTGACTGTGAAATATATATAATGTGCCTTAAATTCGAGCAGCCTTCAACATATTTTAAATGATTTTTCAAACAACAGGCAGTCCTGGCAATTAACGGATTAACATTAACAAATTAAACCAAAGAACATAATTTATCATAGCAAAATAAAATCCCAAAAATTGCAAAAAGGAAACCGAAGCTTGAACCATAAATCAAAGAGAAAAACAGAAATATGCAAATCCCTGGCAGATAATTGTATTGTTGTTGAAATGAGTTAAGCCAGCGATGACCAAGAGAATAAAGCAGTCTTATCTGCTAAATACATGACATAAATCAATGTTTTAATAAAATAAAATAATTCAAAGTACTCAAATTATTCGAAGCTTTTAGTGAATTAATTTATTAACTCAATTATATGAGAGTAATGGGTCTCTGAAATGTTCTTTAATTTATTTCTGTAGACTATTTGTCGCTGCAGGATATTATCAGTAGTTAGATAATATTTGCAGGATTTTCTTTGGCATTTTCTTGGTTAAGTTTTCCACAATTGAGTGTACCAATAGCTGTTCTATTCCTTCTAGAAATAGCATTACAAACTTGTAGTTAAATGCATCATTGCCCGCAAAGAATCACTCGAACAAAAGCCAATTACAGTTTGCATTTCCCATGTGGCGGGGCCAACTCTTTTGTCGGAGGAAACAATCAATTTCGCGCTGTGCGTGGAGGCAGTAGAGGCTTCGGTAGAGACTGCATGGCTGTGGCTGTTTTGGGGGGATTTTCAGCTGTTTGTTTTTAGCTGCTACGCACAATTAAGCGGGTAAAAGGCGGGGCAGCAGCGGATGTGGATGAGGAAATTGCAATAGACGGGAAACCGACAAAACAGAAAATCGGACAAAATGCAGCAATAGACAGGCAGATGGCAGATGGACAAACTGGCAGCATGCCTGCAAATGTTCGCATTTGGGAACTCACTCAGTTGAGTGCTTTGAGGGAACGTGCTACGAATTTTGGGCTGACTTGGTCCAAGGATATTGGTTGAAACTCCCTTTGGGGCCACGCTAAAGCAAACAGCTGCTGCTGGGTATGTAATCTGATATTTAAGACATGCATCAGTGAGGCTCTGAGCATTATATTATTATTACATTAGGTAGAACATTTTTTTCTCATAGTTTGCCCTTTTTTTCGGACTATTATTTCATGTTTATTGTTGCACAAACAGAACTCTGGGCTTGGCTTCTGGTTTTACTATAACTTTTGCTGTAATTGCTGAACGTAGAAGACCCACTATATAATCAGTTGCTCTTAAATGATTTCAATTAACATAAAATTATAGTTAAAGTCTTTGCAACTTACACACCTTCTCTGACAATTTGTCATTCATTGTAGAGTTCATGGAGAGGCTGTTTGTTTTAGTTAATCTGCGCTGTTTGTTTATATTATTTACCTAATTTGGACAGTCCACAAGAGCAGCATAGATATCGAGTTGCGACATCTAATATGCCCGGTTTAAATTAGTTAAAACGATGTCTCAGGCTTGGGTAAACCGAAACAATCCAATTAAAATTTCAGCAAATTTTCCCCCGAATTACGCCTAAGCAGTTAAGAAGGTGTTTAAGTCCCACAGCGGTAAGGGCCGACAACGAAAAGTTTATGAGGCTCAAGGAAAGTTTGTGGAGGGAAGGATGGGCTGACAGAGACGACAGCCCCAGAGGCTGACTGTTTTCCACA